GGAGGGGATTGTCCTGCTCTGCTCTGCACTGGGGCAGCCTCATCTTGAATATTGTGTGCAGTTTTGGGCACCACAATATAAAGAAGACATTAAGCTGTTAGAGAGTGTCCAAAGGAGGACAATGAAGATGGTGAAGGGTCTGGAGGGGAAGCTGTAAGGAGGGGCTGAGGTCACTTGGTCTGTTCAGCCTGGAGAAGAGGAGACTGAGGGGAGACCTCATTGCAGTCTACAACTTCCTTGTGAGGGGAAGAGGAGGGGCAGGCAGTGATCTCTCCTCTGTGGTGACCAGTGACAGAACTTGAGGGAACAGTCTGAAGTTGTGTCAGGGGAGGTTTAGGTTGGGTATTAGACAAAGGTTCTTCACCAGAGGGTGGCTGGGTACTGGAACAGGCTCCCCAGGGAAGTGGTCACAGCACCGAGCTTGACAGAGTTCAGGAAGGGTTTGGACGATACTCTTGGGCACATGGTGTGACTCTTGGGGATCATCCTGTGCAGGGCTAAGTGTTGGACTCGATTGTCCTTGTGGGTCCCTTCCAACTCAGCATATTCTTTGGTTCTGTGACTGTTTTGTTAGACTTGAAAAAACTTCTGAAAAGTAGCCTTGCTTGCTCATTTTAGCTGTAGGATAGAGCCTCACATAGGAATCAAAAGCCATCTATCACAACTACAAATATGTAAGGATCTAACTTATCACCAAGGGTTTTGTCTGGTTCAGTGTAACTAAAAAATAGATAGCTAGGGATGGGACAGAAAATCAGCAAGTAAAGTAGAATATAAGAAGTTATGGTACGGAAGCAGCAAGATGGAAAAAGAAAAACATACTCTCATCTTAAAAGTACTATTACAGGTTCCTTAGGATCCTTCAGGATAACACTGAAAGAAACTGCACGTTGAAGTAGAAGAATTGAACATCAGTGAGACTGATGGTCTTGTGAAGTGAAATACTTTGAACACTTAAATGTCACTGAAATGAATTCCTGGCAATAATGTAAAATCTGCCCTTGGTCTTCTAAATCTGCTTCATTTGACTTCGACACACAACATTGCCTAAAATTAAATATTGATTATGCCATTTATATAGAAAAGTGAAGACTTCAACTTGAAAACTGTAATTTTCTTTTATACCAATATGGAGAACAAAATTAGAAATTTGAAATAATGGCTCAGTCATTTGCTCTGGATATATTCTTCTAAGTTATCTGAAGTTATAGATCTAAAATTTTATACTGTAAGCATACAAAAACCCCAAGAGTCAACACAAATAGAAATATTAAAAAAAAAAAAAGACACTAGGTATCATATTGCTTTTGTGTTTGAAAAGAACATTGCATTTTACTTGATGAAAATGCCAACCACAAACACAGACAAAAACATAGTAAGATTTTAGAATCTGAGCAGCTACTGGAAATGACAAGAAAAATTTGCAAGTCACACTGTGTCATCCTAAACTTTTGTCATGCAAGTATTCTGAAAAATCATCTAACCTTGTTAAGAAAGCAGTAAAACTTTTAAAAGATCAAAACTATATTGTAGAAAATAAAAATATCTGTCACAATCAGTATCAACTTTATGGTTGAATGACTCAAAAAGGGAGGACTGCTAGTGCAGTTTTCCTCTGAGTAAAACTTAGATTGCCTCTATATGTGAATCCATCTACTATAAATATGGTTTAAATGCTTTTTGAGCAGTGATCGATTTTGTTTGAACCTCAAATACAATTTAGAGAACAAGAAAGGTGTTCTACAAAGATTTATTAAAAGCTAACAAAAGCTACTTTGCTTAGTTTTGGGGATGTACCTTATGAAAGGCAGAGTAGTCCCAATGGCAAATTGTCCCAAGAGGCTAAAGTGAAAAATATATCATACAAATCATAAAATAGTTTGAGTTGGAAGGGACCTTTTAAAGGCCATCTAAGTCCAATCTCCCTGCAATAAGGACATCTTCAGCTAGAGCTAGTTGTTTGGAGCCCCATCCAAGCTGACCTTGAACACTTCCAGGGATGGGGCACCGACAGTTCCTCTTGCAACCTGTGCCAGTGCCTCACCACCCTCACAGTAAGGAATTTCTTCCTAATATCTAAATTGACCCTCCTTCAGTTTAATACCATTCCCCCTTATCCTATTGCATCAGATCCTGCTAAAAAGTTTGTTCCCATAATTACTTCTTTTACCAGGAAATTACATTTTTGAAGACCAACTGAAATATCAAGGTTCAAACTCAATATTCATCATTTAGTACTTTGTTAGAAACAGAGACTTTCAGAAAACATGGACAATTAAGTGTAAACAGTAAAACACATTTAAAATTAAATGTTGTATTTTGTCTACATGATCTGCTTTATATATAAACAACACTAATTTTCCAAAATACCATTATGAAAAGGTAAAGACTCCTAACAGATCAATCAGGAGCATTAGTAATGCATTCTCCCACACCTTCTCTCCAATACCCTCATGCATTAGTAACCTGCTACTTACATTCATTTAATAGAGGTGATCCCGTTATTGCAGAAGCTTGATTTTTTTTCTGAGGTGCACACAATTTTCTGCTATTCACCAAATTCAGTAAGAGAAATGAAAAAAACACACAAAAATGGTACAACAAAATAAACTGGAATACAGAGTTGACAAAGAAATATAGTGCCACTAGCTTTGTGGCTAAACCACCACTTCCAAAAATATGTATAATCAAAGGAATAATTTTTTTCCCCTGACACTTCTTCATTTTTGTTTCATGTTGTATATACACATTTTGGAGCCCTGAAATGAGTTCCTCAACTAGCAAATGAGCATATTGAAAAGAAATACACTTGCAGATTAAAGAAGAAAAAAAAAGCACCCTGTAATATCAACTGGATGCTGAAGTACAATTTACCTTTATTTTCATTATTGTGTGGATCAAGAAGTCCAGTGTGAACTAAATTTATATTGCATTATTAGAATGCCAGGATCCAGAAGGAAAAACTCAGTAAGTGAAGACATTTAGACATATTGATAATCTTGAAGAATATGAATGACCTGTATTTCTTGAAGAATTCAGATGATGTTTGACAACTTGAGGGTACTGAAAAGGGCTGAACAAAAAGATATTGGATAGTTTCTTTGGTTTTTTAAAAGTAATACGTAAAATGAGCAAAGAGTTCTCTAAGTGGCAAAGAAGCTTACAGTTTTGTGCAAAATCCAACCTCTAGGCAATAGGAACAGGTGACATAACCTTTCAAGTGTATTTTCCAGTTGGGCTCTTCTTTGTCTTTGCCTGTATCAGCTTGTACCACCCACCTTTGAAAGACATCACAGAAAATCTAGACTAGCTAGATGTTGCATGGAGATTCCTATAATAAAAGTGGTGTGGTCTCACACATTTTGAACAAAATCTATTTTTCAGTAATACATGAAAAGCAGGTCTTAACATGAAATACCAAAGCATGATCCGATTATGAAATGAGCTCATCTCACCCAGTTTCCCAAACACAGTTTCAGTTTTTTAGTCTGTTTCAAAGTTCTTGTATTCCTTCTGTATTCTCTGAATCTTTGAAGACAGTCTAGAGGAATACATTCTGCTTCATAACAGATAAGCTTTACTCCTTCCCACTGTGATAAACTTCCTGAAAACATATAGGCTTCATGTAGAGCTATTTCTCAGTGGAGCTGTCTCTTATTTATGCCTGTTACTGGTCTCCTTTGGTTTTCTTTGGACACTCTCATTTTGTCAACAGGCATAAAACTCAGTGCAGATTCTCTGCTTTGTGTTGCTCTTCTGCTCCAGATTTTTATTTTTAATTAATTATTTATTATTATTTATTATTTATTTATTAATTATTTTATTATTATTAATTAATAAATAATTAATTTAATTAATTATTTATTTTTTTATTAGACAAGACACAATTTTTTAGAAAACAAATGAAGGAGGCGCTTGCAGATAGAATTCACTGAACAATCTTAAGAAAAGTAGACTATATAATGAAGCTCAAGTTTGCTGGCTATCAGAATAATTTTGATTCTATTACAGTGAAGGTGAGTACTGCATATAACAATCCCATAGTTTAAACCAAAATATTTATATGGGTGGTTGCCAATAAATCTTGTTTGCTGATAGAAAAGAATGAGACAGCAGGAAAGAAGAACTAGCAGATGCTGGGCAATCATTTTAGCAAGCAGAATAATCCTCAAGGATCACGAATTAGACAAGGAAGAATATTATTATTTGCCATCTGCTACTGGTCTATTAGTATGTCAGCATCTGGTGCCACAGAAAGATCTTTGTGATGTGAATGAACGAAGTGAATGCAGACAGTTTTCTTCTGCTGAAAGGAATTCTGCTGAAGGTAAACATTACAGGCCTTGCCACTGGTCAATTTGCTTAGTTTTTCATGTATGCTATTTAACGTTTGATAAAAAGAGCACATTATAATAGAGTTCACCTCAATGATTAAATAGTATAGTGTAATCAGTAAGAATTGAATAATAATCCCACAAGGTTGGCATTAAAACTTTCTTTCTATTCAATTTAGGCTGGTTTTTGTTTCCAAATGTCAGGCAGCAAATATCTAAGTTTGAGCAAAGTCAGTTGGTTTGAAAGTGTCTTAAACTGATCAATAATAATGTGGGGCACAGATCTGCCCCATCCCAAGCTAGAAATTTGCACATATATTTTGTTGACAAAATACTACTTGCTCAATGTTGCTACTCAGTGGCAGGATTATCTATGTTCCTGGGGATACTAAAGCATATTAAATACATTCGAAGTGCTAACAATTTCATATTCATGACAGATATTGCAAGAGATAACATGAAACTTCAGTAACCATAAGGTGTTGGTGGATCCACATATTAAATTGTGCAACAGTATACATGGAACAAGCTATACTGTCTTGCGTTTATCTATTATGCAGAATGACACAACCTTGCATGCGAACCAACCTTGTTCAGCAGAGGCAATATATTAATCTGATAGATCATATGGCCGAGCATGGACTTGCAAGGCATAAGTGTACTTACTTTTGGTGTTGGGCAGGATGCAGTGGAGAGACGAGAGGTGGCCTGGGCACGAGGAGATTCTGAAGGAGTAGTACTGAGGGAGGCTGTATCACGTGGGAGAACCTGAACGCCACGAGAGATGATGGAATCTGGAATCTTAAAAAGAAGAGAGAGAGATTTAATAGTAAAAAGATATACTGTATGTAAAACTTACTCAAAACCTTATATCAAAAACATGGGAATACCCCACTCCTCCATTTGCGTACCTCCTCATACTCAGTGCTTGACAGTGGTTAATGGCATTTTCTCCTAATTTCAGTAACAAATTCCTAGCAAATATATAAGATCATATTCTAACTGAAGTAGCACAGAACACACTATTTGCCCTGAAAAACCTATGAATCAGACATACTACAACAGTAAATAATAAGAAAATAATAGTTTTCCTCTTAAGCCTCTGTTTCAAACTCAACAATGACCAAGAGTGATTTCTGCTGTGGCATGAAGGGAGGCAAACTTTCCATTCTCTAACTATGGGATAATTTCTGAAAAGAAAACCACTTGTTAGCAATGACTGAAACCCTCTAAAGAAATGTCATGCAGTGAGAAAACTTCTCATAAGAAATCTCATGCAGTGCATAAATACTCTTTATTCCATGAAGACTTTATTTCAGCTACAAAAATTCTTGATGTAAGATTTGTGCTGCAAAAGCTACCGGCCTCTCTGGAGGGAATAAAGGCAAAAGCATTAGAAACCACCATCCAAAGTCAATACTTGCTTTAAAATACATTCTGAGGGGAAAAATAAAAATTCAGTCTTTTTTCTTTTCCCCACATAATATATTAGAGTGCCAGTTAGGAAAGCATATCCCCCCTGATGAACATCTGGCAAACTGATGAAGAGAAGGCTGAAGCACTCAACAATTTTTGTCTCAGTCATCACTGGCAACCTCTTTTCTCGCATTTCTTGAGTGGATTGCCCTTAAGCCAGGGATTGGGAGACCAAAGATGTGTGGACTGTTATGTGGATGAGGAACTGGTTGGATGGTTGCATCCAGAAGGTAGTGGTCAAAGGCAAAAAGTTCTGATCGACATCAGGGACAAGTGGTGTGCTTCAAATGTCTGCATTGGGACCAATGTCATTCAACGTCTTTATTGATGACACAGACAAAGGGATCAAGTGCACCCTCAGCAGATTTGCAGACAAGACCAAGATGAGTGGTGCACTTGACACACTTGAAGGACAGGATGCCATCCAGAGGGACCTGGACCAACTTGAGAAGCGGGCCTGTGGGAATCTCATGAGGTTTAATAAGACAAAGTGCAAGGTGCTGCCCCTGGGTCAGGGTAACCACAGGTATCAATACAGACTGGAGATGAACAGATGGAGAGCAGCCCTGCTGAGAAGGACTTGGGGGTGCTGGTGGATGAGAGGCTGGGCATGAGCCAGAAATGTGCACCTGTAGCCCAGAAAAGCCAATTGTATCCTGGGTTGCATCAAAAGCAGCGCGGCCAGCAGGGCAAGGAAGGGGGTTCTCCCCCTCTACTCTGCCCTTGTGAGATCCCACCTGGAATACTGTGTCCAGCTCTCTGGTCTTCAGTATGGAAAGATATGGACCTGTTGGAGAGAGTCCAGAGGAGGGCCACAAAAGTGATCAGATGAAACACCTCTCCTATGAAGACAGGCTGAAAGAGTTGGGATTGTTTAGCCTGGAGGAAAGAAGGCTCCAGGGAGACCTTATTGTGGCCTTTCAATACTTAAAGGGGGCTATAAGAAAGGTGGGGACAAACTTTTTAGCAGGGCCTGTGGTGACAGGACAAGGGGTACTGGCTTTAAACTAAAAGAGGGTACATATACACTAGATATAAGGAAGATATTTTTAACAATGATGGTGGTGAAACACTGGAATAGGTTGCCCAGACAGGTTGTGGAAGCCTGATCCCTGGAAACCTTTAAGGTCAGGCTGGATGGGGCTCTGAACAACCCAATGTAGTTGAAGACGTCCCTGATCATTGTAGGCGTTTGGACGAGATGGCCTTTAAAGGTTCCTTCCAAACCAAACTATTCTATGATTATATTTCTAAGCTTGAATTTTAGTGACAGATCCTCTAGTTGGTGAAAAAAATGAAATTACACCAACTTACAACAGTGAGAAAGCATTCTTATCTTCAGTTATAAAAGTGAATCTATCATTACTTTTTATCTTCTGTCCCTTCTGTTCAGCTTTAAATAAAAGAGATAGAGGAATGAACTTGAGAATAAAGCTTTCTTGAACTTTATATGCTGAGTCTTAGAAAGTTTGTTGGCTTTTATTACTGTAATATTTGGGTCCAGCCATGTAGCTATCACACCAGCTTTATAATTGACTAGATTACTATTTTAACATAATGATTTATTTATTTATTTAGTGTAAAATGTTAAGACATAGAAATGATAAATACCTCAGATAGGAGAAGTGATCTCTAACATTAATTCTACAACTCAAAATGCAATAGATTCTACTATAACACACTGTTTACAAAGGGTTATTCTGATTTGGTTTTCATTATTCTAACCCCTTCCTTTTTCAAAGGCAGCAAGTTTACAAGATCACTTTGCTCTTACTTCCAGCAATTGACTTCTCTATCACAACAAACCAGAAAGTGTAGACATTCAGATCTTTGAAGGTATAGACACACATATCTTAAGATCTTTCTCCTCATTAAGAATTTCTGAGTTCAGCCTGATGTTGAAGCTCCAGGTGAACCACCAAAAGAACCCCCATGTTTGGGGAAAATGGCAGTAGCAGACAATAGAGGAAGGAAGAAATGAAGATCCAGTGACAAGCTAAATCACTGATGTTGGGCATTTCCAGATGGGATTTTTTCTTAAATGGATATGCTGCTACCCAGTCTGCATCTAGGCATTTTGAGCATTCTTGCCTTGAAAGACTTGAGGGCACACAGAAGCCAGGAAGAAGCTTGAATCCTAGCTTGAATCCTTTATCTGTTGCATTCTTAGGACATTAAGACAGCTTTGTTGCTTGTCTCGGTGTAGTTAAAATGACACATCTTAATACTCACATCATTAAATACTTTTCTTTTAATGTCATTTCCCACTTCCTCAACTTCCTTGGTTCCCATCTATAAATAATGACTATGTCTAACTTAGCAACTTTGACTTAGACATACTGGGTTATACCTAGGAGATTTCACCATATACACTCCTCCACATACTAAGAGTTTCTCGTGTTTATAACCTGTTTAGAAGTTGTGTGAAAATAGATCTTGTTCACAGTGTGCCACCAATTGCTTCCTTTCTGCTCTACTGCTGTGTTTCTAGACTAACAGTGGTTTTTTTGCCAGTCAATTTCTGTCAGCATTTGAAAATCTTAGTGATCTACTTAAGAGGTAAACAAGTTCAATGATATTCTGAACATTCAAACAGTTTGTAGTCAGAAGTACAATTTGCCTTCTGTTCATTTTTTCTCCTGAAATCCCATCTTAAATTTGTTAAACCCAAAAATAGGCTGGCATCCCTAAGTTCTATATTGGCATAGATACTACCTACAACTTTCAATGCTTCCTTTTAATCTCCATGCCTAAGGATAATACGGTAAAAAATTATATCTTGAGAAAGGCATAAAATAAAAAAAAGACAATAAAAGAACAGTTTTAAGTCTTTAAATAAGACACCTTTTCTTCACACTCCTTTGATACAAAGCTGCACACATCTTGAGATGATTGTGCATGATCTATTATCATTTTGTACACTCCAAGACCCCACAACACAAATAACAACACTGCTTTTGAAAAAGATACCATGATCCAGTTCTCTCCAGTTCACTCTGGTTGCTCTAGAGTAACCAGATATTTCACATTGTCTCATGCTCTTTAGGAAAGAAAAGGTTTTTTTTTTATTTTCCACCATATTGATCAATTACTGCTTCTAAAATTTTATCTGATACAATCTTTTTCATAATAAAAAACGTCTCTCTTTGTAACAAAGTGCCTGAGACAACCCAAGTTTCTACTGAACTGCATGTGTAATACTGGTTTTTGCCTGTGAAAAAATTAAAGTTTAAGTAAAATTTCAGTCAGGACACTAATCAGAAAAGAAAGCTGAAGATAAAGGGAAAAGATGATCACAGGCATTTAATTCCAATGAGAATTATTGCATCACTACCTTTACATGAAATACAATCCCCAGAAAACAATTCATATATAAACCTGTCTAGAACTCTAAGTTCTAGAAAAAAATTTCACTGAGAGAATTAAGTTAGTTCACAGTTACAAATTTTGCTCTTTTTCTAATATGATAGTGGAATGTGCTGTATTGCTAAAAGCAGAACTAATATTCTCTTTAAATCACTACAACCTGCTGAATTCAGAGAAGGTACTATTATGTACACTGCATAAACAGAAATATATAAAATTATAATGTGATATGGGGAGTTTCTGCTTTTTCTCACCTATATTTAGCTTTTTTTCCTTTAAAAATTAACAAATTAAATTTAGGCAATCTAAGTCTCTAATCAAGGCAACTTCTAGTTAACCCTGTTAAAGAGGTTAATAAACCATAAGAAATTTCTGTGCTTCCTGGAGCATGGAAACCTGCAATAAAGAAGGGCAGGAATATTATTGCATTTTGGATACACTTTTTTTTTAAACTTTCACAAAGTCACACTCTGAGCATTTATAACGTCTCTCTCTAAAAGTTTTTAGTCATTTTCCAGTTTCAAATAATTTAATTGAGGGTAGAGATCTCAAAACTCTAAGTGAGGTACAAAAAACCTCTTAATTCAGCGAGAACAGTTTCTGTTTGCACTAGCTGGGGTGGAAAACCTGTTGTAACGTACTGACAAAGAGAGAAATGAATGAGGAATGAATGAAGGGACAGAGAAAGATATTCAGTGTATCCATCAGTTACTGCTTCTACAAGTTTAATCTGACCTGGCCTTTCTGTGAAATACTTCTATATTGGTTTAAATATTTGCGTTTTCAGATTAGAGAACTAAGCATTGACAAGAAGGGAAAAAAGGAAAATATATGAGTTCTTTATTCTCTTCTGCCCAGGACTGGAACAAAGATTGACAGTGCTGGTGAGGTAAGAAAATAATCAAGTAGATGATAATTACTATGACTGCTATACAAGAGGAAAAAATGTCTTAATAACATAGAGAAAGGACAGCTTAAAAAACCCCAGTAACCTGCAAAAAAACTAACCACCTTCTGCTGAGTTTCAAGATCTGATTTGGATTATAGAGTGCACAATACAATAGCTCAAGAGTAATCTGCAAAAGGGCACATAAATGTGGATGACATCTTAACAGCATGCTTCAGCTAAAATCACCATCCTACTGATACTGAAGAATACAGTGCAAATTCTAGTTTAGTAACCTCAACTAAAAAAAAATGAACTATTGCAATAAACGAGTGTATGCATGTATGCATGTATATGTATGACAAAGCTATGTATATAGCTTTATAATCAGGTGTGTGAACTTTAAAGTCTTCCCACTTCCTTAGTGACTTTTCAAGAGACATAGAATCATGTTTTAAATACAGAGGTATCAGGTGATCTGACTGATGGTTTAAATTACTATTTGCCTTGGGGAACAGGTCCTTTCTACCGTTCATTGAAATAGTTGTCTACTATTCACTAAAATCCAGTAATTTATATTAAGACCACTGTATCCTGACTCCTGAAGTCTTCCATTTTTGAGAAATTCTACTTCTAAACAGAAAATAAAAATGAAGGAGAAACTGCAAGTGATGAAAGCAAACCATGAACATACAATGCAAATGCTGTATTGCGTTGACAAAAAATCTATTGAGAAAAAAGCAGCAAAGCAAGGCAAACAAAGGGGAAAAAGTTACAATTTCATAGCTCTAAAGCAGTGATTTTAGGAGATTATTTTAATTATATTCAATTATTGAGTATATTAGATGATAAAGCCTATGACTAATCAGATACACAGGCTTTATAGCAATTATTATTTCAGCAGCTGAATGATTCAAACTGACAAAACACGTGAACTTCACCTTGTTTAGCCCTATATCTTAAACAGATATTTTCTGTAGCATGTGCTCTAAAAGATAGCAATAATGTGTCTTTGTTAGAAGAAAATAACTAACACTGTCTGTTCACACACAGACTAGGAGGCAGGCAGTATATTTTTAGCTAGTGTTAGTGCAAAAGCCTCTTGGAAGTGTCTCTTACCAGTTCTCCTGCACTGCCTGCTGCGTGATGGCAATAACTGATGAGACCAGGGATGGGCTGTTCACCTTTTGCCATGATAACAGCTGAACTGGTGTAGGATGGATGCTTCTAATGCACAACACATAACAGCTATGAATACAGTGACAGGAAAACATGAAACTATACAAGCAAATGACCAAAAAGGAATGAGGTGAAAACGAGTGTGACACTGAAATGCCAAGTTCATGTGAACATAGCCAGTTTAGATCTCAGGTATTTTCTGCCATTAAAAATGGCACATATTATTTGTCTTTGCCTATATCACAAAAAATTAAACAATTTAAAGTTTGCATTAATAAAAACTGATACTTGCAAGTGATAATTACCTTAATTCATCCCTGTAAAGACATATGTAATCAGGATTTCCTGTATATTGGGAGATGATCTCCAGCTGCAGCTGTCTTAGAAATGTCAAGATGTCTCAGACCTGAATTCACATTTCTGGAGTTAGAATGTTGCTGCTTTGGTTTAAAAATTGTTTAATATAATTTTGAGTTACTTAGACTTTCAATTCGCATAATAGGAATTAAAAGCACAATTTGTGGAGTAAATATAGAACAAAGCAGTTTGGAAAAAACCTTTCCAAACACACAGGGATACATTGTCTTTTCACTTGAAAACTGAAGACATAAAACTGAGGTAAATATTTATATATTGCTTCAAATAATACAATAATTATTTGGAAAACATTTAAAATTTGAACAAAAATTATTTACAGGTGTTATCTTTTTTTTTTTTGGAGTCTCCAATTTATTATTTTAGTTTGAGTAATGCAAGGCTATAAAGACAATATGATGATATTTAGTTTGTTGGCAGAATTTCACATCTTTTATGTGGGCATGCACACTGGAATATAGTAATCTGGATAGTTTATTACTTAATCTGCTACCTCTGTCATACTTTTTATCAATGTTTTCAGAAACCAACATTTTAATTTCAAATTAGATATTACGGGTTAGAAAATTTTGTTGCAATTCCTTAACATGCCATCTAATGGACTTTGCATGTTCAGGTGTGTGAGTACTTTGAACCAAAAAAAACCCACTTAAAACTATCTGTCACATCAGAACAGTATTATAAAAACATATGCTAACATCAAGATAATAAATCATTTATTTCCCACTGAAATTTGAAATCACCTACTGAAACAGAATTCTTATATTTTTTAGATGTTATATTTCTACAAAACGTACCTAAAATACATCTGTTTGACCACAGAGATCTCAATACACAGTCTTAACATGCAAATGAATATTGGTGGAAAGTACCTGAGACAGAAACGAAAGGGGTCTCTTAGGGAAACAAGTCAGACTCACTTTAGCTGCGATAGCTGCTGCTGTTATATGTGAAGAAGAACTGTCTTCTGTTGAGGCAACTCCACTATCCTTCTTCTCTTCCTCCTCTTCCTCACACTGTACTCCTTTGTCTTCTGTCTGTTTGTGAGGGCTGGTGGTTGGAGGAGGAGAAAGAGGAGGTGGTGGTGAAGGTAGATCTTCAAGCTCATCGTGTACCTCCTTAACTTTTACAATGGCGTCCCGCAAAAGATCAATGGCGTGAGGTAGGGCTGGCAGTATAAACTGAAAGCATTCCTATGCACAACAAGAAGAGAAATGACTGTGAAAAGTTACCTGCAGAAGTAAATAAGGATCTTTCAGATTTACTCTTAAAATATATTTGGGACTTAGATGCATCTTTTCACCCAATCGTAAATAAAACCTTACCTGTCCAATGCAATTGCTCATAGAGGGTAAAAAAAATGAACTCAGAATGAGACCTGCTGACTGTTCTATATATTTTTGCCTTTTTTTATGCAAATAGAGTAAATTGCACAGCTACTGTAATTAAGCTAGTATTGTATTAAAACTTCAGAAAACAAGAGTTAAATTTTTGTGAATATGTAATGCAGAAAACAGTTCACAGCAGCTGGCAGAATGCTACAAAAATGCAGAATAAAAACATTAACTATATCCCTGCAGGGATATTAGCTTCAAATCATTCCTATTACGCTCCTTCACAACTAGAGAACAATTCATAAGGGTTTCCATAATTAAACTTTTATACAATTATATCCTTTTTTATTCATGGGCTTATCCTATATACTGGAAGAATTACAAACTACACTGATGTTATTATAATGCTATGTAACTCAGAAAAAATGGTTCATAAATAATCTATTTTTTCAAACCTCTCTTTGCTCTATGATCTTAAAAACAATTAGAAGGTTTATTTTATATGGTTGGAGAAAGCAAAAATGCAGACACTGTGCAATTTTCTCATTCCATTATGGGCACACACATATATAGCTACCCGTGCTGCTAAAATATGCTGGCATTTCATCAAATCAAAGAGGAACCCCAAGATGTCATGCTCTGCAGCTGCCTGCTCAGATCAGGGTCAATACGAAATTCAGACAGGCTTCTTAGGGCTTTGTTCAGTCAAGTCTCGAAAAAAAATCAAAGAACAAAGACTCTTCTTGACAACCTGTTTTAATCCATAATTAGTGTTTTTGTTGGGTTTTTTTGTTTGTTTGATTGGGTTTTGTTTCATTTTGGTTTGGTTTTCCATTTCTTTTTATCCAGCTGGAAGCTACCTTCTTCAATTTATGACTAATGTCTCTCATTCTCCTGCCAGGCACCTCGATAAAAAGTTTTCTTCATGTCATTTGAGGAGACTGCATATAAACATTAAATTATTGGAAAATAATGGCAGGGTCACAAGAATGAATTGCCATAGTGATGCAGTCAGGGAACACACAAGTTGACAGGCAAAGCTGGCAATTATTCCTTGTGTTGCACTTCATTTTCAGTTTTGTTTCAAGCACAAGGAAGATCTTAAAAAACGTATTCTGAAATTTTAGAGTATCTAGAAAATAAATAATGATAAAAATTTTATAAATAGATATTGAAATAAATCTTTTCAATAAATAAAAATGACTACATAAACAAAATAAAGAGCAAAGCATCCATCGGAAATTACTGGAGTTTATATAAGCCACTTTGTAAGTGAAACATGACTCACAAACACTACTTCCTCAAAGTTTCTAAATAAGAACACATCTTTCAGTTACTCCTTTAAGAGTAATGAATGATAAGTCAGACCACTTCACATATTTATAAATTCTTTAAAGGTTCAGTTTGGTACTGTGAAGAACTGGAGTAAACTGGATGATTGTAAAATGCTGTATAAAATTAATATATATTAAAACATATTTGTAAAGATAATAAAAATTACGACTTATAATCCAACTGCAAACCACAGTTATTATGCCACCATAGTATTACTTTTAAAATGGTTTAAAATAATGAAACATACAACCACCATCACTTCAGCAAAAACACAAACCTCCAGTAAGTGAAAAACAAGGACAACAATCCCTGAACCGACCAATAATTGTGAAAAAGTACATTAATAATTGACTCATTAGAGAATCACGTTCCCCACTCCTACCACTGAAATAGAACCTTGTTGGCTTGATTGTTGTTGCAATGGTTCTCAGTAAGTACTCTAAAAGCTCATGTTATTTGTGAAACTCATTGTTTCTACAATTGTTACTACACTTATGAAAATTGCCATAGGCCAAATGATTTTAAGAAGCACCCGGTAATTTCACACTTTGCCCTCTTTCATAACATTAGCTATGTTTTGCAAGGCTAAAGAAAAAAAGAGACCAGAAAAAATGGAAGTATTCTACAGATCTGGATTCAGTGGTACATGCCACAAAAATGTTCTCTGGAGAAAACACATTTGGCATGCGGTTAATTTTTGAGATTAAGCATTTAAACTACTGCCATTAATATTTTAATATCTTATTAAAGTAATATGTATATTGCTGCAATTTCATAATTTCATATAAGTTTCTTATATAATCATATTTATACAGTGGAAAGGAAATTAGCAAGTCATAAAAGAGAAAAATGAGAGAAATTCCTGGTAACAATCTATCCTTTTTGGTTCTTGAGAGTCAGCCTGTTAGGGAACAATTTTTTCTACTATTCATCTTAAAAATCTTTGCTGAAATCTGATGCTTTACAGATGCTTTGTACTAAAATAAACTGTGACAGGACAGAGTATCATCACGACAGGAGCAAATAAAACATCAGTTTATCAAAAGCTTGCTTGTATAATGCAATCATACGACATTTTTTTTCCTTTCCAGCAGAATTTTCTTTTTTATTACTTACTCTATATGAAACTATTGTTAAAATACTTATTAACACTTTTTCATTTCTTCATTTCTGCAATTTATCTGTCTTCACAGTCTGATTGTCTCAGGACAGAAAATGACAATTGCTTCTGTACCTAGCATGTCAGTAGTGCTACTGAACACAATAAAAACCATTAGAGATTGTAGGCTATTTAATCTCTTTCATAATTCAACAAAAGAAGTACTCACTTCTGAAATAATCTTCTTACTGGTGCATCAGTTCTTTAACATGTGGGGGCCATTGCTATATTAAATACGTGTACATCCCTATGACTTCCCACTGATAAGTGGAAGAATTTCAAGAAGGTATACTTCCACCTTAGCACCCTTCAACTCCTGTTGCATGTTTTGAAGACTTTTAAATTTCTTTGTAATTCCAGTCTCATTAGATTTCCTAAAAAGGCTCTAAGGAATGGTAGAATCATAGGAGGGCTTACTGAGTCCTTGAACTGAAACACGTTGATAATGTATCTGAAAACCTAAGGTGGCTTCTTGAGATCATAGCATTCAAAACATTTCCTCTTCAACTTCCAGATGACAGCCCACATAAACGCTGTTTACTTATCTCCAGAGACAAGTCTTTCAAAAACCAGTCATTTCAGGGCTGTGCTGCTAAACACCTTAGTACTGTCTCCTCTGTGACTGAGTACTAATTGTTCAGAAAAAGTCTACCAGATATGCATTTGTTAGAGGTCAGAGGCAAAGACATTTTTTAATAAGGCCACTGACATAGTCTGAGCCCTGAAGAAATGGCTTCTCGTGATGGGACAATCTACCTTAGCAGTTTTGTATCAGGTTGTACAGCCCACTATTCAGCTTGGCAGTATTTGTGTGAAGATTGTTTTCCTATCAGCCAACAACACAGAAATCAGCAAAAGATCTAGCCTTACTAACTCACACACACACACACAGATTCCTGCTGAAATTTGTGTTACAGTCAAAAAGAAAGAATGAATAAAAACACAAAGCCTAACTTCTCTGTCCAAACTAAGCAAAATGCAGGAAGAAAACAAACTGTATAAAGGGTGAAAAGTTGGACAGCAATATTGAGAAGATTTAAAAAAATCCTCAAATGCTCAAAAATTATGTTCCCTTTTTTCCCCTCTTGCTGATCAAAATTGGGAATGTTCTTCATACTCCAGCAAGTTCTACTGTTCTGCCTTCCTCTTATTTCTGTGCAAAAAAGAACGCTTTCTTGCTGTAGACAACCCAGGGATCAGGTACAAGCTAACTAGAGAAGAAGGAGGAAGTGTAAGAGACTATTACAGTCTTCATTAGTACTGCCTGCTAGAGTGAGTGCTTGCTTGCACTACATGTAACATTGTCCTGGTCACACAGCACTTTCAATCAGATTGGAATTGTACCGTCCCTGGCTGAGGGTGATGGTGTGTTCACTTACATGAATATGCATTTCAATTCACTTTTGTAAAATTTGTTGTAGTGGGCACTTTCTACCATTCAGGACAATGAGAAGTACTCATCATGGTTCCTCACTAGCAGATCAGTAAGAACACCTCTTACCTGTGACCCTTTCTTGCTACCTGGTAGATTAATTATGAGAGTTTTCCCTCTGATTCCACACACAGGTCTGAAAAAAAAGAAACACAGACTGAAATTCTTGCATGCAACTATCTCCACTGTCAAAACAAAACCAAAGCATTTAAGATACATTCAATGATTTATCAGATTTTGTAAACCTAATTTCCAATATATTTGCTGATAATGTTCTCATAAAAGAACTGAGGAGAAGTTGAACTGAGAAAGCATCATACCAGGCTGACAGCATCTAACATTGAATTGATAGTATAAAGACTGGATAGATTTCCATCTTTATTTAGATCTGTGTAGCTCGCTTAATCCTATTGTTTACTTGTATCCAAAACCACTATTTGATATAGTCCCTATTTGATCCTACACATGTTCTTTTGCAATGTAATTGATGGTGTCAAACACTATGTTCCTGGCCAGGTAAAAATACTAAGTCGTGCTTGTTGCATTAATTCAAATATGTCCTTTTTTTAAAAAAAAAAGATGCAACATAAGAAACGTGAAGAGGGTAGTAATTATCAAGTGAAAATTGCACTTATGCAATTCAAATCTAATTCTTCCTAACAGTTTTTCCCTCAAGAAAAGACAAAACTAACTATCAAAGATGGAAGTTTTTATTTCACTTTTTTTGTCTTTAGGGAATTCCTTTCGTGTTCATGGAAGACTGAACTTAAACATTCCAGCAGCAAATGCTTTCTGTTGTTTAGTTTGACCCTTCAACATTTTAGCTAGATATTTTTCAAAAAAAAAAATTAAAATTACTGAGTTTTGTCTTGAGGTTGTAAAGAGTGTTTCTTCTGTTTATGAAACCAGCAGTGAAAAACACAGGACTGGGATATAAGGATAAGAAAAAAGTAAAAGGACAATACCAAACCACAAAGACACAGAGGTTATAGTTAAGAGAAACTGTGACAATCACTTCACTGAACAAAAAACAAGTTACAAGTGAAGACAGAATAGAAAAGAAAATAATTCCCAGTTATGGCATTACCAAAAGTTTTGAGCCAAAGGATATGGTTTGTTGGGTAGTCAGCTTCTCTGGATTCCTTCTTATACAAATAATTCTCAGTGATTAAAGTCATTTATTGGTAACATGGTATTTTTTATCAGGGTAGCAAGTATTTCCGCGACAGCTGTCATAATGCTCAGAAGTAAATAGCAGAGAGATCATTTTTGTGCCACAAAATGAACTTCTGATATCACAGTCAAGCTAGCCTGAAGAGAAGTCTTGCTTTCAACTGGCAGTTTGAATATTGCCTGACTCCTAGCTTCTGTTTTCTCATATTCACTTCTTTTACACTACGTACACTCAGTTCAGAAAGAACTCCTGGTAGCTGAGGAATGCTCTACTGCAGCACAAAGATGAAGAGCCTGAGATAAAGAAATGTCTTCATTTATTCTTGTTGCAGTCGTCAAGCCTACAGAGCACAAACTCAGTCTAGCAAATCCCATATATGGCTTACAGTTTATGACAGATTTAAAACAAAGGAAATAGGAATTGTCCACAGAGAAATAAAAATGCGGTGGAATTGTGTTTGGCAGATAGCTCCTTTAATAGTCTTCTTCTTGGCTCTTCTATTCCACTTTAAATAATTTTGAACATTATAAGATAAATAACCAGTACAATCAACTGATAATAAAAAAGGGATTAAACCAGCTGAAAACTGGTTTCTCCTGAAAACTGCAAGTTTTGGCTGCCAATAATCAGATCTAGTGGCTCAAGAGAGAAATGGAGTTGACAAAAATTTCTCAAGAGAGCATGCAAAAGTAAGTAAAAGTACCTAAGAAATGCATGGCTTGCAAAAAAATATCATGTGAAAAAACCCCATGATCTCCCTGGTAAGAAAATATGCTGTTAAAAGCAGAAAAGATGGGCAAGGGAACAGAGAGTGCTTTAAAAAGCCACAGTAAAGACTGGCATGGCACAGGCAGTTGAAGGCAAGGGATCAGGTGAAGGGAAGAGATAATTCTGGGATAAGGCCAGTTTTGGAAGGTCACAGAGAAGAAATGGAAACACTTTCAGGAAACACATAAAAAGGTCTTTAATATTCTAAGACAGTCCCTTCTTGATTCTGGGTCTGAATCTGAACTGAGAATGAGAGTGTCGCTGTCCCTCATTTGCGCCCTACCCAGCCTACAAAATAACTTGCCAATGCTGGCCCTAAGGCAGGAAGACAGCCTATAACTTGTAACAAGTTTTAAAAGTTCATGTGATAAAATTCAACATGACTGACCTAACATTTCCAAACCTGCAGGTGATTTATAGATGTGTCAGCCTAATGTTACACAACAGAACTCCTGCTTTTGTTTTTTTATTTGAAAAGTCAAAGAAATTACAGGCAGAATTATCCATCAGGACTTCATTTCAAAATGAAGTCAGTGAGAAGTAAGCTTAGGGTAAGTGACATTTAATGTTTTATACTTGAAAAAATTAGGATTTACATTTCCCTAACTCTGTACCTAAAATTAGTGTAAGTTTCCGACCTCTTTTATTGTGTGCTTTAATCCTCATTGTAAGAGGGGATTACAGCATTACCTCAATTTTCAGAAAGTATATGAAAATATATATTAACAATTTGGGTCTTCAAACAACAATTGATGTAAGAAAAATACCAGAGAATGCGCCTGCATTCAGAGAAGATATAATAAATAAAGAGCACCAATACTCATAGTATTACACACAGGACAACAAACAAGAGAGAAGTAAATTTCCTTTCCCCATCTTAAGCATTTGCATAGGAATTCTACAAAAAAGTCTAATTATAATAAACATTGCATTCATGTCGAAGTGAGATTGCACAAGAAATCAGAATGTTGTAATTTTGTGTACTTAACTTTATGATCTGAACAGTGTTATAAAAATAATGGCCTTTTGTATGCTGATTGCTTTTAGGCCTGTTCATTGGGAATTTTTTTAAGGCCTGATTGCATGCAGCATCTTTGCAATGTTATCTCCCATCATTCTCATTAATTACTACTGAAAGTGGCTGTAGTTTAAGGGCCATTTTCTGTCTATATGTACAGAAGAGCCAGGACGCAATGCAGCATTTTGGTTCCACTTCCATTACAATATCCTTTCAGCCACCCTGATCACACCACATCCTAGATCAAACTTGGTGGCGGTTATCCTTTTCTTGGTCAGAAAGAGAACAGCTAAATTAGCCTTACTCTCTTTGAGTAGCATTCTCTTATCCTTTCCTTTCAGATAAATACAAACTGATATAAAAATTCTATCAGATAAAAAAGTGAAAATACTTTTTAATTGGTACAGAATTTGAAGGTGTTAACTTGGTAATGTTGCCCTTTCAGATATGTGATACAGGGTATGGAAAGTTTTAAAATACCTTGTCGAATCACTAAACCTCTCATCTCAATGTCCTTTAAAAATGCAACTATCTGAACACAAACTTGTATTTTTAAAAGTTTCTTCTTTATTTCTTATACAATTATTTTCTTGTTATACCCTCATTATACGAGAAATCAAAAACCTGTAACAGCCATTGTTTCTTACTTACCTTGAAATAATGTGTAAGTGCAAATTAACTTATGAAAGGTATTGCTATTACTGTCTATCGTATGTAAAATGTAGCAAATTGACAGAATAAAATAAAAATCAGCTCCAGAAAAAAATACAGAATAAGAGGTATCACTTATAAAAACCAGAATAACTACAGGTAGAGAAACAGTTACTAGTTATTTAGTAGGAAATACTAAACTCCAGGAATTAAAGTACAATATCTGAAAGGATAGAACAAAATACCATTTTACCTTCTACAGAGAGCTTCTGCTGATACTGGAATAAAAGCAATATCAAAACAATACATTTGTCTTTATCAAAGATTTGGGTTTTTTTTGCCAAACAAGGCATTTTAGTACTTGATGAACAACATACAGAAAAATTCTTCACTCATCACCCAAATGCCACAGTTCTAGAATGAAAAGACAGCTATTTAACGGTGTTTATCAATATTACAAATAACATGGATCAGAAAATACGGGAAGATACAGTTTCTAATAGACACAACAAAGGGAATTAAAAGAGAAAATGCAATTATTATTCTTGGAATTTGGCAACTTCAGAGAAGTTAAGACTTCTAGTCTTGATAATAATGGCAATATTCAGGAATTTGTGCATAGTCATTGAATAACAATGTGTATTTCTAAGGAAAGAGTTCATCATATATTTTTAAGGAAATAGTCTTACCTGGACAGCATGCCCAGAGGAGTAACATTAAGTGATCCCATCAGCATTGCCAGGGCCATCCCTGGGGCTTCTCGCTCTATTACTTCTTTAGTGGCCTGCAATCAAAGATTAAATAGCAAAGTGAGCGACAAAGTACAAGGATAAGAAAAAAACGTATAAAACCAGATAAAAATTGGGTAAGAATATCTCATTTTGTTCTGTCAAAAAATGTTGTTGCTAAATTTTCAACACTGAAATACATTACAGAATTTTCTCTTGGTTGTATAAAATAGGGAAAGACAAGGGGTTGGGAAGTAGTACTGTTAGCTGACTGTGAAGATTCCTATAGAAAATTATAAAAGTCAGGACCCTATAAATATAGAAAGCGTTAACCAACACCACAGAAATAACAACTGCCTCAAACAGAAAGGAAAAAGTGTTTGAGAATAAGCAAAGAAAAGACTGCCTTCTCTTCCTCATCAATCTTGTGCATTTTCCTGTTGCATTTTCCCAGGCATGAGAAGGGTAAATCAGTCTGTGAGACAGAAAAAAAAATTTGCGAAGGGAAGCCCATGTAGCAGGCAAGCAGGAAAATAGTAAAATGGTAATGATAGTGGCCAGAGGCTGAGGCCTTCCCTTTCAATCATGTCAGCAAAATAGTGTTTCCAAATAGGCTGATGGCTTTTATTCACAAGCAGTCCATATGCAGTGGGCACTGAGAGTCTGGAAGCAGAGTCTGAAAATTCTTGTCTTTTTAGTCCTTTTTTCCACAAAGGGAATCGGATGGAAAATCATGCACAACATTATGTCCTGACTTCCTAACACAAATTTTCTTGAACACACAATCCATCCAGTCTCCCAACTTCTAACTTTAGTTAGTACACAACATCTTAAAGACTGCTTACAGTCTCACCCTCTCTTCATTTACCCCACAGTAGTTGCTGTTCAGTGGATCGCACTGTTTCACGTCCTGAAACAAGATTCTAACTTATTTGGCATAACTAAACTGGTAGCAATGATCATAAAACTGTGAAATACATGGTATAACAGACAGTCAACTACAACACTTTGATGGTATAGCTATCAAAACAGAAATACAAAAGAGTATCTTAAATATAAGGATATGCTGAATAAGCTGAATTTTCTTGGCAGTTCGATATAGCAAAATAATAAAATGGAAAAAAACCAGGCAAAATATTTTGTGTGAAAGATTCAATTATAAATCGCATCCTTGTACTTTTGTAAGCTTTTAGTTTACAAATAGAAAAACAAAGTCCTAGAGAAGGAAAATGACAGAATTAACCCAATCTAGGCATCCCTATAAGAAGGATCCAGAAGTCCTATACTAGTTATATGGATAAAACGCTTGCAGGAGGCAATAAATAAAACAGAAAAAAAATCCTTGAACAGTACAGATATTCATGTGTCCATATTCTCAAACACTGTCACTAACATTTAACATGTTTTAAAGGAATATGCCAGTATCAGAAGACATCAGACACAGCTATCATGTAAACCTTTGGGTATTTTATTAATAAGCAAACTGGTTATGTGCTCAGTTCTGGGAAGCTGGAACTTTGGTTTATACAAAACCAAGCAATTTCAATTCAGTAGCTGATACCACAGCCTCTTTTATTTGAAGCGTAGCATGTTGATTTTAATGTCTGCCATCCTATACTCAGAAACAGAAAAGCCATATAAATACAACTCAGTGACAGTGCTTCTACACAGGGGAAATGAGAAGAAGTGGTCTTGGAATGATGTAGACAAAACTAAAACCTCTCCATGGAGGAAGATTACCTGAAGGATAGCCTGAAGAAGGATACCTGCTGAGGTATTAAATTATCAATCACATTAAAAATTCTTAAGACTATCCACAGACCTGATGATTTTTATAATATAGAAGAAAAAGGCATTGCAATGGTGAAGAGACACTTTGTTGACAATGAAAAAGTTGGTGAAACACGGAATTCTCTCTGTGTGCATATATAGGAAGTGTGTATCTATGCCTTTTATTTTCAGCTAATACCAAGATTCAAAGCTATTCAAACCCGGTTTTAAATATAAAGTGCATTTTGAAATTTATTTTTTGCCCTTGAGCACAGTGACACTTTGAAGATATCATTAGTTAAAATTCTAAACAGGCTTCAAAGGTAGTACAAGATGCAAGAGAGTTCCATAAACAATGATCCTGCAGCTCAGGGAGTCCTTCAATGAAATTCAAGTCCTTTCTCCAACTTCACAAGAAAAATGACCTTCACAAAATGTCACTGCTAGCAGGCAATATGATTATTAAAAATGTATAGACTAAGCAACAAAATCTGAAAGGGCACCAAGTCCAAACAGCAGTACATTCCTCAACAGAAGTTTCTAAAAATACTTGTTTCAAAATATATATGCTTATATTTATTTCTGTAGGTAGACCTCTGAAAACATGGGAATGCTTCTGGTTTTTATATTTGCAGCCTTACTGCATAGATATTAAAAAAACTGCTGCTGCTAAGTAACCACTGTTACAGTGACATCTGCTCTTGAAATCAGTCACTGGACAGCCCACTTTTGGGATGCCCTCAAATAACACAACTTAAAATGTGCAGTTTACAGGAACTGAAATAGCCATCACACTGGGAAGGACACTCTTAATTAGTTATACATATATATGAATGAAAGTAACAGTGCTGCAATGACTGACAGATAACTTGTGTCTAGCTGTTACAACTCTTGGTTTCACCTAACAATATACCAAAGTGCTAGTGGTCAGGTTTTCTAATATTTCTTCCAGTATTATTCCTTTGAAAGAAGGGTGGAGGAGAGATGTCAAACCTAGATTTTCATCTGTGTCCAATTCACGAGTTAACTGTCTGGTACCAGCACCTGCCTGCATGGAAACTATTAAAGAATAGTGATTCAGCACCTTCACATTTTACTAGTACTCTAACAAGGCTGAATTAAGGCTGTTCAGCCTTGTTTCACGGGCAATGTTTTTGTTGGTAGTCCAGCCAGCTGTTGCCTGCTGCAGGGGGCCATAATGTTGGCACAGAATGAATCACAGATCAAGGCTGTTGCCACTGGCTCTCTTACAACAGCGATGATGACACTGCTGGGCACTAGCAGGAAAAAATGAAGGTATTTCATTCAGAGCTGTCACACTGATGCCTTAACTGGGACTGAAGGTATATTCTCAAACCTGAGGCTGACGACTATATAAAAGGTAGGTGAAAAATACTGGAGTAAAATTGCATAAAATACTAAAATGACAGCAAAGAAGTGTCCCCAGTTTCTCAAGCATAGGGTGGTAGTGCAAAAAAGACAAATGCATACAAGAGGGATGTAGGTGGAAGAGAGGGTTTCCACAGAAGCAGAAACACTTAAAAATAAAAGCAAGAGTTCAGGAGACAGACAGAAATGCAGAAAATCCAGTTTGGAGGTTGCAAAGAAAGGCAAGGTTTGTAGTTTAGATAGGAGAAGGGAACATGGGAAGACGGAAGCTAAAGTGGAAAGGCAGAATTGTGGAGAGGAAGTCCCAGCAGCAGGATTGTCAGAAGGGCACAAATGAGAGTAGAATGAAAGTGAGTGAAGTGAGTGGGATGGAAAATAGAAGGGGAGGTTGGAAACATGATTTTTAAGGTCTCTTCCAACTTAAACCATTCTATAATTCTACAAAGGAAGACTGTACAAGGCAGCCTGGGCAGACAATACATGAGGGAAAAACTCAGGTGAAGCAAAAAGTAAGGCAGAACATGACAGAAGTGTTGGGCTGTGGGGGAACCATGGAGATAGACAATGGGACTGAAATAAAATTCTACTCCAGAGAGGAGAAGTAGGGACAAACAATTTAATTATTCAGGATTTACTAACAATGTCTGTGAGAGCAGTACTTCTTATATTTCATTGCTATATGAATAAATCCAACTGATTTTAAAGCACATTTTTGATTGTTTACAAAGTGCCTTTTTATTGGAGTTAGGGCATTATGTTCCCAAACCAACTGATATATTTTTAGATATCTTTGACGTAGTTGCTGTTGCTTAACAGATGGCTCGCTGCCAACTGCTTTCACAGAGTTCTCTGCTGCTTCACTGCCTTTCTTTGCCTCCATATAAATTAAGTTAGTTCAGTTCCCAACCTGTGGAAGCCCTTCCAGGCAGTTTTTGGAGGATATACCCACTGCAGACTGATTTAATTAAAAGACCTAGGACTACTCTTGAAATGTTCAGAAACTCCTTATCTTTGTCTTTCAGGCACTAAGTATAGCAAAGTTTGACCTCAATAGTAAGTAATCATTTGAGACATTTCATATACTCTTCAGCAGTTTTTGGACAGTAATATAGTTTTATTTCTTCAACTAAAATGCAAATACGAGACTCAGAAGTCATAATAAATTCAATTAAATTAAGATGACAGAGACTGCCTCTGTGGAAAATATTATTTCAGTAGAAAAAGTTAAAATCTATGACTCTGAATAGCATATCATAGAGCTATATATGCAAATTAATGGACAAATTTGCAGACAATTTATGTTTAACAGACTATAGAATTGACACTGATAATATTTTATTACCTATTTGAGCTTTTCACTGAAAGCTGAAATCTTAGAAGGGCCTAATGAAAGAAATACTTATATATCCTCTGCAACACAGCTCGCAGACCACAGTCAAAACTCAGAACAGCAGAGAAAGGACTAGAGAGACAGATCAATCAAATATGAAACAAAAAGGTCAGTCATGTCTGTCAACCAGTTGTGTAAGAAGTGTATACTCTAGGAATAAAAATTGTATCTCTCAGCCTGGAGATGAGATGCTTTCTTCAAGGTTATTTGGAATATGTCTGCTGGAGACAACACGTGTGCCGGTAATTTTTATTCACAAGTCAGCTAGTTCAGCTTATTGCCTACTTCCCTACTCTTATTTTGCAGGGGAAAAAATAGAGCTTACATGGAGCTAGACTGATCAGAGCTTCTTCCCTAAAAAACACTTATCTATTTCTTCTCCATGTACAATACAAAATACAGGTTTCAGCAGTTGGTTTCTTTTAATATACCAAAAAGTTTTTGGATAAGGATCAGTTTTGAGTCAACTCATTCTCACCATCTTGCTGTCTTTCCTTGAGTTTTTCC